CCTTTAGATACAACTTTGAATATCGAATGGCATAATGTTTGGATTTGATGGTACGATTGATGTAAGAGCATCATTATTGATGATCTTTGGTGGATATCATTAGATATAAAATTATTAAAATTTGAGTAAAAGGAAGAAAGAGAGTGTTTTTGGTTGAAATAATGTAGTATATTGAAATATAAAATTAATAAAATTTGAGTAAAAAGAGGAGATGAGTTGATACTTTTGAAGAGAGAGTGTCTTTGTATCAATAGGTTGATATTTTTGGGGAGAGTTTAAACTTTAGTTGGGGTTGTGTTTAAATATAAAATTAATAAAAGTTGAATAAAAGGATGAAATAGAAGGTATAAAGTTGAGTAAAAAGAAGAGAGAAAATGTGTTTTAATAATTTTATATCTAATGATACTCAGAAAAGATCATCAATAATGATGGTCTAATTGGGCTTCAAATAGAAGTGGACCAAGTCAAATTATTGACTTTAGGCCATTATTAGAGCCACTCGTTGAACATCTTCAATAAATATTGTTTTATCTAACGCAATATATATAAATTTTCACAATCAATCAAATTACTGATTTATCTTCAAATTTAATATGAACCATGATTTTGCATCCTTTTGTTGTCTAATTTCGTCCCCATAGTTTGACACTTTTTGATGATTTGTGTATCACAAGAAATCAGAGATAGAAGATAGTTAGAGAGCAATGCAATAGAAATAAACAACCTGAAAACGTGTAGATCAATCAACAAACCAGAAGTCATGTCAATGGTTTACAATTCACATGAACAGAGTGATAATCTCCATTGAACAAGAAAGCAAACGACTTAAGTTTCTACTTCAATGAAACTTTAATCTATGAGTAGTAATGATGAAACTTTATAAGATCCTAACTTCGTACCTAAACCCTAGTACCATCTCTATCGTAATAGTAATCAAAACCTCTGCTTTTTACTCTAGAAGATCAACAGCATCACCTGCAAAATCAAGTGCCAAGAAGAGGATTCCACTGCCCCTGAAACACCAAAGACCGATGTTATCGTCGTCTCTCAATCCATTAGCCTTAACGATATTACTCCATTCACCACCCAAAACATAGCTCTCCAAGCTTGTCCCTGCTGAATCATTATTCACAACACATTTCTTCAAAACCACATTCCACTGTTCTGTTCTTTGATCCACAAGAATCGCTCCTACACCAATCTTTCCATCGTTATTGATACCTTCGTCTCCAATGATTCTTGATTCGTCGCAGTTCAAGAAATCTTTAGTGATTAAGCTTTCGAAAGGGATTGAGAGACGGTTTTGGAGTGGATCGAAATCGTTTAGGTCAAGAGCTTTCTCTATGATTAGCTTTGGATCATCATCATCGAGTATCTTCATGTCTTTCATTACACGGATGATCCATTTCGGAGGAGTCTTGGTGTATGTGGAAGGAGTTCGTGTTCTTCTTGGGACTTTTGAGTAGTCGGGATGTTTTTGGTGTACTCGAAGGGATCTTTTTCTTCTTGGGACAAGATCGAAGACTCTCCACATGAACTCTGCTTCTCTTTGTTCGGGAGTCTTCTTCTGTATCTTCTTCTTGCGTTGATCATACAGCGACGTGTTCAAGAATCTCATCTTCTCTTCAATGTCTAGTGAATGAAAACTGTATGGTTTCAAGAACTGTTTCAGGCGT